TTGCCTTTCTTCTATCCTTTCATCAGGTATGATGCTTGTGTGGGTAATAAAATTCTTTTTTGGGAGGACTTGTGGATTGGGGAATCTCCTCTTAAGGATAGATTCCCAAACCTTTATTCCCTTTCTTTGAAAAGATCTCAATTTATCTCTTCTTTTTGTACTTTTGGGGATTCTTGGGATTTGGGACTAAGGAGAGGGTTGAGGGACTCAGAAGTGGATTCAGCAATTGATATTTTTTCTCTTCTAAGTTCAGTTTTTCTAGACCACTCCTCTTTGGACTGTAGAGTGTGGGCAGAAATTTCAACAGGTAGTTTTCTTGTTCGTTTTTCAATGCTTTGGTCCTTCCTTCTAACCTGGTTTCCTCTTTTCCTGTTAAAGAAGTTTGGAGTGTTCCGGTCCCCCCAAAAGTAAGGGCTTTTTGTTGGGAAGTGATTCTACAAAAAATCAATAGCTTGGAGGTGCTTTAAAGAAAGGGACCAAATTGGTGCTTGTCACTTCATGTCTGTAGCCTTTGTTTGAGGAATGGTGAGATGGTGAATCACCTATTAATTTCTTGTCCTTTTAGTGCTCTAATTTGGGATTGGTTCTTAGGTGGAATCCTCCCACAAGTGTAGCAGATTTATTTGACCCTAGCCTTTTTCGACAACCAAAGAAGAAAGGAAGGGTGATGTGGAGAACAATGAGGGCAGCTATCTTGTGGGCAGTATGGGAAGAGAGAAACAATAGGATTTTCCTAGGGAAAGAAAAATCAGCTTCTGAAGTTATTGAAGGGATCACCATCAAGGCAGTACATTGGCTGAAAACTCTTGACTTGTTCAAGGATGTCTCTACAGATGATTTGACTAGAGGCTGGATTATTTAGCAAGATCTTCTACTTCATCACCTACCATACAAGCAGTTTGGTCCCCTCCTTTGCAGTGTCATGTCAAACTGAACTTTGATGGCAGCTCTATTGGGAACCCCGGACCTTCTGGAATAGGGGGTGTGTTTAGAGATGCGGAAGGAAAAATCCTAGCTCTGTATTCTGGCCCAACAGGTGTGGGGAATTTGCTTAGAGCTGAAGTTTTGGTGCTCCTCCAGGGGCTCAGATGGGCCAAGCAATTGGGTTTCCAACAGTTGGAAGTGGAGGGGGATTCAAAATTAGTAGTAGGTTGGCTGCAATCAAATAGTTTGAGAACGTGGTCCCTTAGACAACAGGTAAAGGAATTATTGAGCCTCACAAGGGAGCTGGATGCGAAAGTGTATTAGGAGGTCAGCAAATGCTTTAGCTGACAACCTAGCAAAACAAGGGGTGAATCGGGAGTTTTTGTTTTGTTCAGTGTTGTAAGATTTTTGTTATTCAGGGGTCACCTTTTACTTTGGAAGGTGACAGTTGTTTCTTATGGTTTTATCTAATGAAAGTTACCGTTTCCTATCAAAAAAAAAAAAAAAACATTAACTTATTTTTGTCTTATATCAGTATTGCTGCTAAAAATATTTGTCACTGTTGGAAATGTTTTCACGCTGGTAAAAATATTTGTCACTGTTGGAAATGTTTTCACTGATATGTTTGGGTGATACTAGAAAACAGTTGGTGCTGCCTTTTAGTCTAGGAGGCATTGCACTTTGGGTTTACACTGTAGGAGACCAGTGCCATCCTTTTTTGTCATTTATACTCATTTTCCCCTTCCCCAGGTCATTCATAATCAATTGCAATTGCAGTCTTTGATAGCAATTCTTTTCCAATTAAGCTTTATTTTTGTAGGATAATGTGTTTACAGCCTATAGACCTACAATTAATGTAAAAACTAATTCTTGTTTTGCATTTAATAGTCTTTCCTAATCTTTGTAAAGCTTTATTTTTCTAACAAATGTTTAATCGAAACTTTTGTTTGAAGTACATCAATTTTGTCCTTTGTGAATAATAAATCTATATATCATGTTTATAGGAACTTATAATTCTTATCTACTCATTGCTTCTGTAATTGTTGATTTCATCTTCAATTGTAAACCTTGAAGGATATAAAATTTTCCATCTTGATCCAAGTGAATTTTAGTGATTTTTTGTTCCATTGAGCTTTCTATTTTGACGCAAGAATACTTTTTCTTGATTGCTATATCTGTGCAAAGCTTATAAATCAACGTCTCCTTAAAGGCATCCAGCTTCTATTTTAATATTATTTCTGATTTAATTTCTGTAGAATTTGAGCCATCTCCAGTCCGCTGTCTGGTTTCTGAAGTCACAAATGCTGTTTGTGGGGGTGACTTTACCGTGTGGCTATCTTCTCTCCAAGGATCTTCTATATTGTATGGTTTGTAGATATCCCACAGTTTTGTTTTTTATTTGGTGATTTATGGATTTGAAGTTCCTAGTTGCTTGACATGCTTGTTGATTTGCAAACTGGTTATTGGTTTTCAGAACTGCAGGTCTTCCACAGTATGGGCAACTAGGTCATGGAACAGACAATGAGGTAGAAAGGTTTGGTTATTTTTTCCTTGATTTCTTTTTTTTTTGAATCTTCATGGAATATTGGATGTCTTTGCAGTATAATGCAAAAGAAAGCTCAGTAAAGCTTGCATATGAACCTCAACCTCGTCCAAGAGCAATTGCTTCTCTTGCAGGAGAAACCATTGTCAAAGTTGCATGTGGAACAAACCATACAGGTAATTTGGAACCTCCTCCCTCCTGTTTGCACCTCTTTCTTGTTCCTGTTGTCACTTGCTCTGTATGGAGATGTTTGTATCATTTTACTTTTATTAACACCCATTCTTGATTTTGAGAGCCAGTTGCTGTGGATTCAAAAGGCTTTGTATACACGTATGTCCCTCTTGTTTCTTTAAGTCTTCTTGGCTTCTCTTGATGGGTTGATAAACCTCCTGAAAAAAAATCTTTTCCATCTGAATTAACTATTTTTTTCCTTTGTGGTGCATATTCAGGTGGGGATTTGGCGGCTATGGAAGGTTTGGATGTTAACAAATGCTGTTTCATATTTATCATTCTTCTATGCTTGTTACCGTGACCCCCCAAAATATGGGAGATAATGGGGGAGCTTAATCTAGATTGTGTTTCACTTTTTTGCCCTTATTCCTGATTATGCATGTAACTGTTTTAGTTGGTTACATGTAGGCTTGGACATAGAGAGCAGAAGGATGAGTGGATTCCACGTCGTGTTGAAGTATTTCAGCGGCAGAATGTTCTACCTCCTGATGCGGTGGTTTCAGCTGGTTCTGTTAGTTCTGCATGCACTGCTGGTAGATACTTGCCTTCCCTTCTGTTTTATTTAGGGTATCCTTTTCATTAAGGTTTCTTGTTCTCTCTGGTTGGCCTTTAGAGTCCCTGTTATGCTAAAATCTTTGGACCTTGTTATCTGAAATCTTGGTTTGATCATTGTTTTTATGTCCCAATTGAGTCCTTCAATGTCTAAATTGGGCCGGGTGGGAATCCTATCCCTAGCTAGATTGTTACAACTCCTGAAACTCATTTGTGCTAAGTTAGTTGGATCTTACAATTTACATTGGTGATAATTGAACTGAGCCATTTGCACTGGACTTGGCAAAATGTGTGTATGTGCGACTATAACACATTAGGGAGTAGGGACTGATACTGCCATCTGGATTGAGAAACTCTTACTCCAGGTTTAAGAGAGAAGAATAAGACCCCCCAATCTCTTGTTCAGCTGCTTATTCTTACACTTTTTACTGGAAAAACTATTTCTGATATTGTTTTGAAATAAAACTTTCCTCTTTTCGGGGTTCAATATCATTCTCCCTCAGTTTTACTGTCTAAGTACGTTGGCTTATGAAATTTCTGAGTTCAATATCATTCTCTCTCTCAGGGCTGTCAATGGGCTGGTCAGACCCAAACGGACCTCACTCAATTATATTGGGTCAGAGTCTGCATTTTGTTCTCCGGTTATAATTGGTTGGATACCATAATTATATATACAATTGTATATCTATAATCGGTTGTATGCACATGTATATTGATATGTCACAAAGACACCCCAGTGTAATACTCATCTTTCTCCTTTATCATAAAAGATTACTACTTTTTCATGATATACTTGTAGTATGATCATATTATGATTGTCCAAAATGTGCCAATTTAACAAATTAGTAGTTTTGTAGTTTTGTTGTCAAATTTTAGGTTAAAAGTACAGCTGTGAATTGTAACCACTAAGTAGAGTTTTATTTGGTCATATCAGGTTGGGACTGGTCTACCCTGACCCTGACCAAACCCAGTCCATTGACAGCATTGCAATCTCTTAATTGTATAGGAATTAAATCAATGTTGTATCTAGTTGAAATTCTTCTGTTTAATTCATGATTCTTGCTTGTTCATTATATCGATGAGAAGAAAATCAATCATTTTATTTCTTTTTTTTGTGAAAATTTAGAACTGTAAAATGTTCTTATTTTGCACAACAAAAGTTGTGATGGCTGTTGTCTGAATTCAGAACCTATTTAATGATCCTGCTTGATATTGTGTACCTTTTTTTGTTACATTCTATGTTTCAACTCCTCAATCGTTTAAGATATTATAATTGGATTGATGCTATTAAAAGAATTTCTATTAAATGGTCCGGATTGTTCTATGGTTGGTGCATGTGTACATTATGGTTCCTGGATGCATAGCATTTATTTTGACAATGAAACCATAAATCCTTATTGTGTTTGCAAACTTACTTGATTCCATGAATGTGAGGGTGACAGTTTACGATTTCTATGTTATTACTGTCTCCTGTAGGAAATACTTGTTCATTGTCAAACACTTGCATTTGTATTAATGGAAGTCGTATAATTTTCTCATATATGGGATTTACTTTCTTGTTCAGTTCTGTCTTGGCTTTCAGTATTTCATCCAACTTTTTTATGTGTCTTCTGATCCAAACCAGTAAATAGAAGAAAGGGATTTCATCATTGCTTTTAGTTTCATTATTATTTTAATGGTTTTATATATATCGGCAAAATACACCTGTATCTTCAAGTCCTGCAGTTTGCCATATAGGCTCTATTGTCCTTTGGTTGGTTGGTTTTTTTAGTACATCTGTAGGCCAAGATGGGTCCAACTTCTTAAAATGAGTTTCATCGTTCCGTGATTCCGTCATAATGTTCCACCTTGAATTACGCCATGCTTAATTGATTTAGTTACATCTTCTTAAATTTAGTTGCATCTTAAATGGGCCTTGGTAGGAGATATGATATATTTCAATTTTGTGGACTACTTAAAGGTGTGGTGAATTTAAGCATGCCTGAATTGACCAAGTAACTTATATTCTTACTAATTTCTAAATATGGTGGCGAGTTCAAGGCAGATTATGATAGAAAGTGATCTCTGATATTCCAATTTTGGATGTATCTTGTTTTGAGTGTTTTATGGGTTTTGGTTCCAAGTACCTTGTTTCTATTGATGATACAAAAAATCTACTCACTGCCTCTTCACTTGCCTGCATTAGAAATAAGGACAACCTAGAAAGGCCTAGGCCTGGAATTTTCCTAATTACATGTACAGATGATCAAGGGGTGGATAGGGAATAAGATTGAATTTCTGTTCTTTATCTAGAATCATGGAACAAATCCAATGTTGTTCGTGGTCTCATTGCATAATTCTTTAATGGTGGGAAAAATAATTGAAGGTTGATCTATCAAGTGATCTTACTTATCTTATGATAATTAATACTTGAATAACTGGGGCTTCTCTGTCAAGTTTCATGGTACCTAAACATTTGATCAAAGAAGAACCTTAGGCTAATTAAAAGCTGTGCATGTTTCAGAGGAGGTGCATATCCTCTAATGTGTACGCTAACAATTTGAATAAAAGGAGGTTTTTTCTCCTTGATGTTGATGAACGCCCTTGGGAATGGCAACAGGGTGGGTTTGGGGCGGGGATCATATTCCCCATCCCTGTCCCCGGTTATGAAATTAACCCCTATTCCCGTCCTCGATCCCTGCCGGAGGTAAAATTTGTCCTCCATCCCCGATCCTCGACAGGGATGGGTTCCTTGTGGGGACCCAAATCCCCGAAATGTTTTCAGATAACATTATTTGTTTAAAATAAATTAAGATAAATAAAAAATTTAATTTATAAATAATGCTTTATATATGTTTTGATATATATAATATAATAGTATATTTAATATAAATAACATTCCCCAACCAAGGATTCCTATTAATCCCCGTCCCCTTCCCCGCCCCGCCAAAACAATCCCCATCCCTGGCCCCATCGGGTCGGGGAAGTTGGGTCCCCGTTGGGGATGGGGAAAATTGCCACGCCCTGGTATCAAATTGAATAAAAGGTGGGCCCAAATGGTCTCCCTATAATATAATTAGGAAAGATGAGTTGAGGGGGAGAAAAGAAACAAATGATCTAAACTTTTGAGATGGTTGTATTGTCACGAGTCCATGATTATAGACATTATTCTCTTTATATCTTCCATAAGTGGACATGTCATCTTGTTTTAAGATATAAGGTAGCATATTATGGCATGATGACAATTAAGGTTGAGAAAATTACATTTATTTGAAAGGTTAGAATGCATAAATCATGCTATTTTGTTGATTAACTATTTAATTGTTGATTTTTCCCCAAATTTAGAATGTGTTGCCATCTGGCTTGATTTGTTTTCCAAATTTCTTTTGATTTGTCTTTTGCTGAATATATGTAAGTAATATGATTGATACTCTGCATGCTTTGTTTTTATTGATTTGTGTTAGAACTCTACTAACAAGTTTATGTTGAATTTGAATATCTACATTTTGTTTGGCTAGTAATGATGATCACATCCTTTTTCTTTCCAGGTGGGGGGCAGTTGTATATGTGGGGCAAAATAAAAAACACAGGCGATGACTGGATGTATCCTAAGCCTGTTATGGATTTAAGGTCCCACCTGATGCCTTATTTGTTTTCCTTTGTATTAGGAGTGCTATGTTTGTATATGCATTTTTCCTGTTGTTACTTGTTACTTTTTTTTTTTCAAGAGTGTTATTTAAGGACTTGATTTTTATATGCAACTTTGTCAGTTTTAATAATATCCAATGATTCAGAGGGCATATTGTAGAGAACACTGATGTGGGCCCCACAGCTATGGTCCCACTGTGTTCGTAGGGTAGAAGGTGTTCTAGTCATCCTAGGGTTAGCTAGTGGTGGTTATTTCAGTTGTTATTTATTTCAGTTTTATTTTGTTCTATTTGTTATGTAAATACTAAGGGCAGATCTGTCCTTTCCATGTAATGAGCATAACCTATAAATACTAAATAAAGTGGCAGCGGTAGAACATTAAGATTCTGCTCCTCCTTTCAATTCTTGTGTTCTACTGCTCTCTCTTCTCTTTCTCCTCTCTTCTCTATACCTTTTCTTCTATTTCCGAACTTGAAATCCATTAGGGTTCAAGACTGATAGCAGTCCTGAACGTCTACTTGGTATCAGAGCTAGGGTTTCTCATGTGAGTTTAGTCCAGCCGACCAC